AATGTTGGTGTTTGGCACGGACCATAAGAAATAAGAGATACATCTAAATCTCCATACTTGCCCTAAAAGTATAATAACACTCATACGTATTCTAAGATGTTTAAAATATAACAAGGCAAAAATTGTGATATACTTGGAAAAATTTAGTTTGATATCTAGTAAATGCACATCCTATTCGCAAATCTAATTCCTGACGTGCATCGACACTTTTCGCTTCGTTTTCATTGGGCTTTATCAGATTGGCCAAAGCAGATTTTATATCTTTCTCCGTAATGGCAGAAAATCGTGCTCGCCATATATCCTATCAAAAAGAAAGCTCTGTTTATTAATACAATAAAAATGTTTAAGGATCTATTCTCTATCTTGCTAGGGTCAAAAAATTGAAAAAAAATTTTTTTACATAGTCTGATAGTTTCAAGTGTGTAGAATATTGTGTTGAACATGGCAAATATATTAGGCGTAAATAAAAATGGTAAACTTGAAACTTTAAACGCGTTTTTCTCAAAATAAAATTTTTCGATCTAACGGAAGTGATAGAGCAAAAACTATTGAACTTATCGCTTTCAAATTTTGTGATTTTCTACAATTGTAGATGTTTTTCTACTGGATAGACTATTATATCAATATTAATAATACTTTTTTTTGTCGCAAAACAAGTGCATAATTCAAGGTAAAAAATCAAACTTTTTTCAAATAACCGCCATTTTATTAATTTTTATTTAAAGTCAATTATCATAGTCTATCCAGTAGACATTCTTTCTGAACAGGAAAATCATTTTTTGAAACTCTTTCAGATGACCTGCAGTACTTCTGTTTTGGCGCCATGTTCAAGTTGGAGAGGCTTCTCTCTTCCCCGAAACTTTATATAGACTGACAGTTAATACATTGACTTCATAAAATTTAAAAAGAAAAATATAACAAATAACATGTAAAAATGAAGTATGTATCTTCATTACTTTTCCCGAAAAAAATTATCAAAAATCAAATTTTTTTCAAGCCATAAGATAGAATGGACCCTTAAATTATGATCAGCAATTCATTATTTCAGAAAAGATTCAATAGAAATTTAATGGCTACGTTTACACCGTGCATTTAGGCCGCGGCCTATACGATGGATATCCTTGTTTATCCTGTAAGTTAAACAAAGACATCTATCGTATAGGTCGCGGACTAAGCGCACAGTGTAAACGTAGCCAATATCTGCAAGTACAATGCATAAGTCACTTGCATTTATATGTAATTTCCTATGCATTCCTTGCTGCACAGCATTTACAACTTCAAAGCAAATATTTTCACCCTCTTTATCGCAATCTAACCACAACACTAAATAATCACAATGAGCTCCTTCTTTGGCCAAAAAGTATGGTATTTTTAATTTCGGTACTGCTTCCTTTTTTTCAGTTGAGCAGGAGAATAATTCTGCCTAAAAATACAACAAAAAAAATATAATTATTATATAACAAAAAATGCAAAAATGTCATACGTCTTATCTTACCGGATCTACTTTGTCCCAATTGTTATATTTTCCGATAAAATCCAATGTCATGACGTGTCCACATACAGAGGTCATTTTAAAATTGACGGTCTCAGATCTAAATTGACCTACCCATTCGTGGACGGAACAAGAGCCGTTTAATCCTGGAGACATTCGTAGAGGAAATTCACGAAAGGGAATGTGAAAGAAGTAATTCGAGCAGATAACGCACCTTTTCTTGTACTACATCGTCCACTGCTCAATATATTGGCCAAAGATGCCGCCAAAGAAGGTTTTTCAGCTACCATCAAAGCGGTCTTCATTTTAGTGTAATATTTCGTTTATCGAGTATTACAATCAATAAATAACTTGTATCAGTTTTGCTGGTATATATAACACGATCTGAACGAAGATATTACTCGTCACGCTTGACAGTTTTGACTTACTCGAATATTTCGATTTAAACAAAATACGTGAACTAGTGAAGTGGTGTAAAGTTAAAGTGGTTAACCGTCAAAAGTGGTCAAAAGTGTTTTTCACGTATTGCGCGCCACGACGCATTGGTGGTACATTCAGTAAACGGATACTGGGATACTGTCGGTAATGCAAGGTATAGGCTGCGTTTCGTTATTCACTGTCAGTACTGACAATATGACGTCATAAAGTAGTACTGCAGAAGCGTTTTGAAATTACTAATAGTACTTTTATGACGTTACAACGTTGCATAACGAAACGGATTTAGTAGTACTTGGTAGGACTGTAGAAAATAATTTTTTAAATTTTGATAAAATTTGGAATTATTAATTATATTCATATCTTTGCGTGCTTTTTCTGCATCTACTTTATTCATTAATATGTCATATTAATATGTCATAACTTTTTGACATTATTCGTTTCGACATCTAAAAAACAAATTTTTTCCTGATTTCCCATTTCCAAGAAAACTAGAACTTAAGGAGGATCAACTCGCGTGGTGGGGGTGAGTCAAAAAACGTCCGCGGCTATTCACACGATGTGCAGCGGCACTGCGCATTGTGTGAAAGTTCGATATAAGAGCGACAAAGTGACGATTATAGAACGATAGAGCGACAACTATATAGAGCGACAGAGAGGACTAATGAAGCGCAAGAGTGGGGGAAGTTATCCGTCGCCACTTTTTGCCTCACCCCCACTACCGCTATTGGCACGAGTTGATCCTCCTTATGCTTGGTTTATGCTTCGGTCTTAATCCTAAAATCTTAAAATTCAGCCAATAGGGCTACCAGTCTTAATTGGTCCTAACGGAAATCTGTATTCCATTGGCTGAATTTTAGGATTTTAGGGTTAAAACCGAAGCATAAACCAGGCATTAGTTCTAGTCTTCTTGCCCATTTCGTTGAATTTCGCCATCTTTTTACTGCGATTACCTGACCTCGCCAGTCGCAGTAATAGAAATAGGAAGTGACGCAAAAATTTATGACGTCATATAAATGCAAAAAAGTATATTGGAAGTTTACTGCGATATATTTTGGAATGGCGTGTGCAATGCTGCCAGTACTGACAGTGAATAATGAAACGCAGCCATAGTCGAACAGTTATCGATAGAGGGATTCAATTTCTCTCGTGTTACAGAAATTAACTCAAGAGGGCAGAACTAGTCGCAAAGCGCGCTCACGTATCTATTTTACCGACATTATTTACGACTTTTCCGCAGGTTTTTCTCGTATCATATTGATAAAATAGCAAGAATTTGAATTGACTTGAGATCTACAAGTGAATTATCGTTGTGTTAAATGACGTTAAATCTAAGTCGCAATTAATAATAAAAAGAGATTAATGGACGGTTGATGTGCAATATTTCGAGACGTATGTATAATATTATACAAACGATCGATAAATTTAACGTACGCATCTAAAATTCAGTTGGACCGTTTCGTACCAGTAAAATCTTGAAAAAGATATTATTATTTTCCGCTTTATTTATTATTTAAACTTTACTCTAAAAGCCGTAATTGGATATTCGATATATCGTCTCAATCCATATATGTATATTAGAGAGGTTTGGGATACCGTTTTATCCAGATACAGTGAACGTTAAGGTCACGTTATCTTCTTTTTAACAATCAATTAAAAAAAGGATAACATGACTTTAGCGTTTATCGTATCTGGATCCACGTTATTGCAAAAACTCTATTATTAAACGCGAGCGGTAGGAAAAACTATAATTAATTTCGGTTTGCAGAGCTCACTGTTCAATACGGCTGCAGTGAAGAAA